ATCCATTTTCTTAACTGCTCAACTTGAGGGAAGTAAAACCTGCTACCAGTAAGACACAGAGAGATAATACAGAGAGATTAACAACCATTCATGCTCGTATCCATACATTGGCAGCGGTGGTAGCCTCACTATGTCTATAAAACAATGAGCATTTGAAGAATAAAGGCAAACTTAGACATGGAGAGAAGGACAAAAAAAGGGGGTACACAGAAGAACGGACAACTAAAGGACTATAAACACAAAAACACCAGAGACCGACAAGGTAAGCAACTTAAAAAAAGGAAAGAACAGGAAGCATCTTCTCAAATGAGAGACATAGAAATGAATGAACGACGCTATGGTGACGAACCAGCAGGTGGATAGCAATACGCTCAAATTCAAAGGTAATGTGCAACCTGCAAAATAAATAAGAACTAATATTTATAGTATATGATGATGAATCTGTGTTCGTGCTGGACAGGACTTTTTCTGTAGGGGTGGATGGGGGTGGGAAGGGTAATCTGAAAGGAATTATGTGGCTCTAAGTGGACAGCCCTCAGTGCTGTTGTGTAACATTAGCATCATGTTCTGGGTCCTCGGGTAACTCTCTTCAAAGACACAAGAACACATTCCAGGTAACCTGTCACTTTATACTTCCTGTTTGTACACAGCCAGATTCAAATCTTCTACATTTTTTACATTTGTTATTATTATTATTGTTATTATTTTAAAAAGGAGCTCGAACACAACAGCGAAACTGTGCGCATCCATCTGTTTGTGCAGAAATGTGCAGAATCTTAGATCACTGATGAGGTGTGATGAGGTGTCGAGTCCTGCAGTGTGGGCTCTCTCTCTCTCTTTCCTTCCCCGCTCTTGCTCGCTTACAGACACACAGACACCAGATTTTCTGCCTCTGCCGCAGTGCAGGGCAGGGCCGGAATATCCAAACCCATCAACTTCCTATAAAGCCAGTTTTGTTCAAGAAAGGAGCAGGATGTGAACACAGCCTTCCTCTTATGTGTTATCTGAACATATCTGGCAGTAAAATATGGACTTTCAAAGTAAAAGGCTTTTTTTATTCATAGAAGGAAACAAAAAACAATATTAAAATTAATTTACAGGCATTAAAGAAAAAAAATCTTGCTGTTAATGAGCAGTTCCAATAATTCTCCAATAATTTTTTTTCTTACAAAATGTTTTAGATGTTCATAGCTCTCCAAACATAATGACTAATGGCTTCTAATCTTCTGAGGTTTATTCCTCCACTGTAAGCTTGATGTTTGTGTTTCTTAACAAAACGTCTTAACAATTATTTATCATATTGCTTTGAAATTAATTTGCAAGTCTCGCTGAAGTCCAGCTCAAATCAAAACATCTAAGAGCCACAGACCCTGTGGGTAGTCTGATGACCTGTCCCGGATGTGCCCACCTCCCTGCAGCCATGACTTCATTACAAGCACATCCTGTTACATCA